AAAAAAAAAGGCAAAATTACGCACACAATGGCAAAAGAAGGTGAGGCGTCGACTTTGTGCAGTGGAGGTTGCGCACTGGGTTTCTCGCCGTCACTGCTCGGATGCACCTTTGGTCGGCAACGCGTCACTGACGGCACTTGAACCGCTGGGCGGCGCTTTGCGAAAGCTCAGCAGCTACGCGCCGATCCGACAAGCGTGTTCAGATGCGCCCTCTGTCAAGTTGCACCTTTGGCGCCTCAAAACTTTCATGCCTCCAAACAGGCTCTCGGATGCGGGCCGAAGCGGCCATCCTGGCCATCCACTTGGTCCGAAGCTTCGTCCCCCTCCAGCTCGACTCAGCCTGGCTTGGCTGGCTCGACTCATGGCGTGTACGTCGGATTCTGTTCACACGTGCACGAATTGTTTGGGGAATGCATCTTGCACCGCCATGGTGGCAGTCACCGCCTGATCAGAGAAGGGTCAAAGGCAACGCTAGACGCGGAGGACATGATCGGCCCGAGTCCAAGCCACATGGGCTGAACACGAGCAACTGCATGCATGTCAAACGTCCCTCACCACTCGACGGTAGCCAGGCGTGCCTGATGCAAACATCATAGGCGAACTTGAGGTCTGCTTACGCACATCACGCACGCAAGCCGAAGCAAAACCCGCGGCGACTCGTTGCACACGGCCCCAAAGGGCTAGGCTTCGGCGCCGCTGGCATTTCCGAGACCACCAGGCGCCACAGCGGCAAATCTACCCATCCGTAGCGTACAAGCTTCCACTTGGAAGCTCGCTCCACCAAGCCTTCCGAGATCGTCAGTGCCGAATGCAACCCGGTCCGGCTCACCGTGCTGAGAGAACGAAGCACAGGTTGCCCGGCCTGTCCACCACAGGATCCAACAGCTTTGCAGAATTTTGGACCACGTCATAGCTCGAGGCCACAAGAAACGCCATACACGACGAGGACGACGTCGGTCCGGTGAGCTCATCCTAGTCGAAGCAAAGCCCGAGCTTCTTTTGCGCCCATCGGTTGAGCGGCTTCTGCGATGCCGATGTGCGGAGTGTTGCCAGGCAGCATCGGCGTGTTCTTCCATTCCTCCGGCCGACGGAAGCGTCATGACATCATGACGTCACTCTCTTAATATACTTTTCACAATGTTAGACCCTTGTCTGAACACTTTACAACAAGAGATTCTCGTCCGACTGAGATTTTTGATGGCTGCCGGTGTTTTTCCTCTGATTTTGTGGCGTCGAACATGCAGGAGGCTCGGGAGCCAGAGGCAAAAGACGCCGACGAGCCGTACCGCCGAACACAAACACACTGCCGCTCGAGTGACTTGAATCGTCTTGGTCTTGTTGCTACCGTCACCACAGGTATGAGCATCAAAGTGGCCTGCATCGAACAGTCATACAGTAGATCTCTTGATGGGCAGGCAAGATCTGTAGAGTGAACATAGCCGGGCGCGATTGTTGTCCGATGAGGCGTGTTGGTCGGGGACCGACCCTCGAAATTCCGCAGCGTGGGGGCTCTTTGCCTTTTGTGCTCCACCCCGGCCCCGCCAGCTGTACAGAGGCAATAAGCAATTCCGTCAGTTGCTCTTTGACTCGGGGCGGTGCCTGGCAGTTACGACCCTCAACGAAGCTTCGTTTCCTGGTCTTCGCTCGGCTGGCCCAGTGTGCACAACGAGAAGGTACAGCCAGGCACTTGGGTGTCGAGGCGACTTGAGTGAAGCGGAAGCGGCGGGGGGCAACCCTGAAATGCCAGCGCCAAACCGCTCCCCTAAAATCACAGGCTTGGCCATGCATGTGGTTGCGGCCGTCACACTGCCAGCAGCTCCATGTGATCTCTGCACCGAGCTTGTGCAGCTCCATACGCCTCACGCCTAAATCGACGCCTGAACCCCCTCACAGCCTCACAGCCTCTCAACAGAAAAAATCAAAAAAAAAGAAGACTGCCGAGAGCCGAGTGGAGCTGCTGTGCACTGGCGTGTGACGCACAAGCCTTGGCCTGCAGCGGCTCGCGTCGGCGTCACTTTGATGGGCTCGTTGGCAGCTTTCTCTCCTCGCTCTTGACCATCAACTCGCGCTGGACTACCGCATCCAAGCTGCGCACACAAACACACACACACACACACACACA